GATCATCACATTTGAATAAAATTTGGTACATAAATGCTTTAGGACAATAGACAGGCCTGATTAATTTTGATTAATATTAATTCTCTAATTAGCATAATAATTCATAATTTGTTTGTTCTGTTCTGTTCAGATTTACATAAGTAGTTTTCAGCTTTTCCATCAATATCTCATGTACAAGTAATTTTGAATTAATTTTTAATGTGTCTTCAATACTCTCAGCACACGGGAGTTCTTTCTAAGCTTTCTTTGATTTTTTTATCAATCATCATAGTTACAGTTTCCGCGATACAGTGGTATGATAATTACTAGTTCTGATGTCAATTCAATTCAATCCGCAACAAAGTTCACTAAACATGCATGAAATAAATTTCTGTGTGCGGAGAAGTTGATGTTTTGAAGAATTTTGAATATATGCGACCTCATATTACACACAATAAACTACCATACATGTTTAAATCAATATAATTCCTAACAATAATTAAAGATATGGTGTAAAACCATCATTATAGTGAAATATTGGTATTGGTATTTTGTTTATACGCCATCATTGAGTCAAAATATATTTTGCTTACATAGACCAATCAGATTACTGCATTTATATTACACAGTATAGATATGTAAATACTTAGTCATTACACTGCTTTATTACACTGAACTGACATAATATATGGCATTCATAGCAATTTCACGTTCCTAAATGTAGTTTTTATGAATATTGAGATGTTAGGAGGTTTGTCTATGTCCAAAATAGTTTAATCTCATTCATTGACGTTGACCGTATTATACCATTTGCGGATATACGTTTACATCATTTTTGTAGTAGTATGATAGATAGATATTTTGATATATAATCCCACGATAATGTCTCTTAGGCCACACTGATTTAATTTTATGGATGACATCCTCTGAAGACCCCATATCTAATGCGAGAGGGCGAAAAAAAAAATCCTGCCAAAAAAAAAAAAAAAATCCTGCTAAAACCACAGGACTACGGAGCTGCTATTACGAATTGAACCACAGAACACAATGTATCAAAAAACAACAAGAAGTCTTTATTTGTAGGAGGCACATGTTGATATACACATCTCGTACTGTGTTACTGTCACAGGTATAACCATTTCAGACAAGCTCTAGTACATGTAGTCATGATGAAGTACCTTCAGTCAAAAACACTGCATTCAAGGTACAGCATGAACATCATTTTCAGTACAAGTCAAGGCGGAATGTACTACACTACTTTACGACAATAACTAACAAAACATTGCAATGATACAGAAATGTCCTTGCTTGCTCCTCTCTACACAGTAGGGGTTAGCTTTAACCAATCTCTCGTATAGCTGTGTAAACGTCACATCTCCCTGGCCAACGTCAATTGCGTACCAGTCTACACAATCCCTCAGTTTTTCCTCTGACTTTT